ATTTTAGAGTGCCTGAGATGTAAGCTTATAAAAAGATCAATTCCTCATTTCATTACTCTTCAAGATTCTAAATTAAACATTACCCCCATTAGGTCTAGAACAGTATTTTATGTGGTATGGTCAGATTTTGCTTATTCAAAATTTGTCTGACTTGACTGAAGAACAAAAAATTATCAGAAACTGTAAATAATATTCATAATTCCACTTCTAGCTTTAGAATAGGCTCTGAGTCAACCCATACTGTTCACTTTAAAGAGTTCTAAGGTAACAGAAAATGTTTTAATATGTGATATTTTAAATGGAGCATAAAAAATCCACTTTAATATATACAAAGGTACTTCAAAAATGTGTGGGGAAAATGTAATTTAAAGACAATGGCGGGGGGGGGGGGGGGGGGGGGGGCGGAGATTATGGGATTTATTTACCAACTGTTTGGAGCCCCCCTGTAGATAAGGTCATCTTAAAACACATTATACAGTTCTTAGCTTTGTTGGTTCATTCAACTCGGAAATGCTCTCCAAACAGCAGAAAGAATGCAAGAAAGACTGAATGAACAAATGAAAGAGGGAGAAAACAGACAAAAATGTTAGGGTCTCCTTCGTCTGCTTTGCCATTCATTATTCGCCAGAAGCTCTGCACCAATTGCACATCCATTAGAGTAAACTTTGAGGGGTGGGTTGGTGGGACGAGTCAGGTTTTCCTTTAGCAGTGAGCTGATTGCTAAAGAAAAATGAATCACTGCACACTCGAGTGAGAAAATATGAAGACAGACCTTTTCCACTAATTGAGGCCCGTTTTAAGCAATTCGTTAAGCCACGGCCCCGCACCACAAGCTATCAGGAGGTGGGGCATAGGGACAACCAGAAAGCAGAGCGTGAAAATGGAGCCTAATGATGCTCTCCATCACCCCCAGACAGCCTGCCTGGGCCCTCGTGGTTGGCTAGGGAGGCTGCCCCAAGGGTCTCAGAGCAGCTCTGAAAAGCCCCAAGAAAAGAGGAGAAGCAAGCGCTGGCTCTTAGGATCCACACAAGCTCACCAATGAACTTCATGGCACTTACCAATGACCTTGTGTCTCTTGAGTCTGAAGGAGAACTGCAACTTGTTTCCTGCTCAAACCCAGACTTTCAGGATTGGGGCTGCTGGACCCAGCGCTCCTTGGAATCCCCTTGGTCTCAGGCCATTTGGGAAGGAACCTTGCTGCAGAGCTGCCTGCTCACACCTCCCCAAAGTCCCACTGCTGCCTGTAGGCCAGGTTCAAGCAAACAACTTGCCAAATATGCAAAAAAGGAGGGAAGATAAGTTTTCTCGCAGGAAAATAGAGACAGGAAAGAAGCCTGTGCTTCCTGCCCTAACCAATGTGAGTTCAGAAATTATTTGGACGTCTGATTTGTCAGGCTTGTGGTAGGAGAGTGTGCTCTTTCAGTCAACAGGAATCGTGAGTTCCCCAAAGTGAGAAATGGCCAGGGCGAAAGGAAATAAGACCAGGCCTGTAACAACAGAGAAGCCACCACCCCACACCTGTGACTTTGGTTCTTTACCATTATTTAACAGTTTATCGCCAGGTGGTCATGTGAAGACACCTTAGGCATCCACTATTTATCACAGTCCAGCAGGAGAAGGGGGGAAAAAAAAGTCAACTGAAGCAGTGTGGCAGTTGCTTATAGATTAAACACCTCAGTTCCTTTCCTTTCAGGTCTTCTCTGGAGCACCCACCAAGGAGGCGGTCTGAAACAGCAGCACCAGTTTCTCCAATTAAACACTTTCTGCAAACCTTTCTTTTATTATCGTGTTTCACATGTAATTAGCAGCATGGTAATGTTTCATCTCGTCTTAAAGATACTCTTTTAGAATATCATCAAACATAGAAAAGTTAGTCAAAAGTTATTAAAGCAACAGCTACCAAAAAAGCTAAGCAATGAACATCCCCACAATGAAGCTGTGTGTCTCCAGGAAGAAACCAGTGTTTGGTCCACACCACAATAAAAACAATTGCTACTGTTGATGTCCTATGGATTTGGGGTGGCCTAAATCCTTCCGGAAACTGGTTCTAATCTTACTGCTCATCGGTATTATTATAAAGGAGGTTGTGTGTGTACATGTACAGCTGCTATTATGAAGCTCAGCTTTTCTAGAACCTAGATCAAAGAGTTACACGTGCCCTCTTTTTGAGCAAAATAATGCTGTTTCAAGATATGAACTTAATCAATGTCTCTCCTTCTGAAAGCCTCAGAGGATGGGTCACTTGTTGCTTTTCTATCTTGGCTTTTCTTCTCCCCATGAAATAAAATGCTAATACAGTACACATCTGAAGAAAACCATCTGTGAGGTGTCTGCAAATGCGAACACATGGGCACTAGGCAGGGAGGGATGATGAACAGTCAGGGCAGGAGGTGCAGTGCCTGGTTCACTAAGATCAGGAGACAGAATGGCCAAAAATATTTCTCAGTTTTAGAAATAGAGGCGAGCACCAATTAGCAGAGAATCCAGGAAGGTTTTGGTTTGCTTTCTATGAGCTAGATTCACTCATATGATTCTCTTCTAAAACAAGGCAACAATTACTAGATCGTATTTTACAGTAAACTCATTTAACAAGTACAAGACCACAGAGAGGGGGAAAAGTTACTACAAGGCACTATCCTTGATAATTTATTAATTAGCTTCAATTATCTTACATGAACATATAATATTATGCCATCGTTTATGCCTAAATTCACCACCATAAACAGAAAAATCCGTCCTGTTTTAAAGGTTTTTTTATTCAGAGATCTATTTGATGTTAAAATTCTTTTCCACACTGCCCTATGCACTCTGATTCATGCTTGTGTGTGTACTCTGTGTGTTCATATGCACATACACGTATTTATTCATTAATTTACTCATTTATTAATACACATAGTCCTGTAATATACATTTATTCCTATAAAGATTATATAATCTAGATTATGCATGTAAACATATATTTCAATATTAGGTGCATATTCATAGATATTACAGGAAATATAATGTGGGGGGAGGTTTCACAGCATGACATGTATTGGGTAACCATATTTATATAATTTCAAAATATTTGATATTTATACTGATAATATACTACACACTAAGTAACAGTGAAACACACAAATCAAGATATATATATATACATATACATATTTTTTTCCAAACAAAAAAATCTCTGATCTTAAATGCTAAGTAACTAGTCAAGGAGGAAAGATGTTGGAGCTGACAACACTGCTGGGTTTTGTATAATCTGAATTTTTAACAGGTCAAATGCTGAAAGAATAACTGAAGTTTGCCTTCTTGCTAAGATACTGGGTATAAACATCCCCCAAATGTTAAGCACAGCACATCCAAACTTTTATTAACCGGCCTGGTGGTCTCATCCTGTAATACCAGGACAGTGAGCTGCTATTGTCAAGGTGTTCCTAGATTTTTGAGGAGGTGGTTTTCAAGGTAGCAACAATTTCATTAAAACCCTGCTGTGTTAAACTGGCACGAAGAGGTCTCTAAAACTCCAGCCTCCAACCATCATCATGAAGATAAAGGGGAAGGAAATATGATCATTTAACTCAATACAATGTTTGGTCATCAGCTCTGATAGACTGCAAAAGCCAGAAGGTGCATTGTCTTCTACGGAGAAGAAGAATGCACACATTTGTTCCCTTGAAATTTTGAAATGAGATGTTATATCAAACCAGAATTGCATATAAAATGAAAATATACCATTATTATTTATATCTGAAAAGCTATTTGTGCCCAGTAATATTTTGTGTACAGGTCATTATGTTCTACATCTGACATGATGCCGATATAAGCAGGTGGATCGCTGTCACTGGGCCCACCGAGGAGCAGTATTTTAAAGTCACTGGAAATATTTGCCAGTGACATTCATATTTTAAATCAAATACCCAAATCATATGATTTGTTACTGAAACTATCTGATACATGCTAATACAAATATTCCACTCCATAATGGACTTGTTATTCTTTTGAATCCCAAAGGAAAAATGGGCAACCAATTATTAGTAACACCTTTAAACAAAGAAAGAAACCCAGGAGGCCTGGGACCTCTCCTGCAGGTTTCCCTCTCCTTCAGACTCATAAGCAAAGTGAACAAATCCTTTAACAATATCATCCATATTAAACATTTTCAACTCCCTACCAAGGAGACACTATTTCCTCAACACCATTTTGTTGCTGAAAGTTTAAAACTCGGGTTCTACCAGGAAAAGGTAACCCAAAGCTGAAATACACTGCAGTAAAGCAAAGCACAGTGCTTTGAAAGAGCCTCTTACTGGAAGCTCCAGCTCCCCAAAAAGAATGGAAACTGCATTCGAAAGCCGGGCCATGCCAAACTTAGGGCAACATTCGCTCGCTCAAACAGGAGAAACAAAACCTAACACTCCCATCTGAAATCATCAGCGATGCTTGACACATTTTTTAAATGCACTTAAAAACACAATCACAAATGAGAGGAGTCTTCATTACTGGGTGTTTTGTGTGTGTGCGATCTCTTGGGTCCTGTAGCCAACCTGCAGTCTGCAAAAGTTTGACAACTTTTCAAATTCTGGAAAATGCCCATCTCGTAGAATTTCAGTTAAGACTCAGGACCCAATCCAATTACTTGAGTCAAAAAGTTCTCGCTTCAAAAATATGAAAAAGTTCGGATTCCTCTGTCCTCACTGTGTGTGTGTGTGTATATATAAATTTATATAGGACATGGAATTCGGGCATCCTTTTCAAGGTAACCGCGAGGTCTATTCAAAGGTGTTCCCATGGCCAGCCCGGGCCCTGAGGTCAAAGCCAAAAGCAGTGCGGGATCCGACAAGTGAGGGCTCTCACTGTCCTCCAGAAGGTGAGAGTGGACCTTGGGGAAACCAGCGTGTCAAAAATTCTACCCGCTACTCTGTCTTTCTTTGCTCCTGTCTCTTTATTTATTTATTTATTTGGAAAAATCCACTTGCCCAAGTTTTCCTTTGGAAATTCAATTAGGAAAAACTCACGTGGATTTTTGCGTCGGGCTTTGGGGGCCACAATGGATCCTTGGGTGTGAAGAACAACTTTGGAGCCAGGGGTCCCTCGCCCGCCGCGCCGCAGCCGAGCGTCCCGTCCGGGCGCGGGTCCGCTCCGCAAGGACCGAGGGGCGGTCGCCGCCGTCGCCAGCGCGCGGAGCCTCCCCAGGGCGCGGGCGAGCCGGCTGCGCGGGCAGCGTGGGCACTGGTTAGACTGCCCTGCTCCCTGCGCCCGGGTGCTCGTCCCGGGTGCCGTCTTTCACAATGACTTCCTGAAGTTGCTCACTCGCTTTGTTCCCCATTTCTCCTGCCTGCTCCCCCGCCCCCCGCGGGCTCCG